CGCCTGGCAGGTGCTCCCTGAGAGGCTGAGGCAGAAATGAAGGAGCCAGATCCAGGAGCTTAAAGGTGGAGGAGGGAGGAGGGGCTGAGGGAGGAGGCAGAGCGGCCTCAGGGAGTCTTGTGGTGGAGGAAGGGTTCCAGCCTGACCTGGTGGAGAACCTCCGAGGAAGCCCCCCCACCATGGGGGCGCAGTCTCCCCAGGAAGCCCCCAGTTTTCTGCTGACTCAGAGTGGGGTGGGGGCTGGGCTGCAGGACTGAGGTTTGCACGTGGCTGAGGGGCCCAGGGAGCGGACGGAGGGTCAGCTGGTATGAAGTGGGGACACCTCCTTCCCGCCAGGGGCCAGGGCCAAGGGCTTCTTCTAGCCGCCCAGGGTCAGGTGGTGGGGGAGAGGGTGTCCCCCTCGGCTGGGCCCCAGGAAGCCTCAGCCTGCCATCTCGAGGGCTCAGCTCAGCCCAGCCTCGGAGCCAGGGCAGCGCCTGGGGCCAGAGCCCGGGGAGCTGCAGGTCGTGCAGGAGACGGGGCAGGGGCGGCCCTTGGGGCCTATGGCCCAGGACAGCAGGGCCCGGGGTCCCTCTGGCACTGAGAGTGGGGAGAGCAACCAGGCTGGACAGGGATGGGGGCAGGCAGAGGGGGCCAGGCTGTGGCGGGAGGGCGGGGCAGGGGTGGGGCTCGGCTCGTCCCTCATCTCTGCTGTGGGCGGACTGCTCCCGCCGCCTGCACAGCAGGCATGTGGCCCTGGCCCTGTTCTGGACGCTGCTGGAGTGGCTCCAGCCCAAGGCCTCTGCTAGCTCTGGTCCTCCCCCGCCTCCATGCCCCAGGTCAGCCCCAAGGGCCTGGCTGCGGGCCTGTCCACTCCTGCAGGAAACATTAAGTCCCTGAAACACAGCTCCACTTCCGCCCGGCCCCACAGCCCGCCGAGGTCGCCTGCAGGGCGGACAGTGCTGGGGGATGGCAGGCAGCCCAGTGCCAAGTGGCCGACACTGTTGGGGTTGGGCTGGGAGGCCCCCCCCCCGAGAGCCAGCTCAGACACAGCCCTGTGTCCACTCCCATACGCCTGAACACCCTGAGCACACCTTACCTGGACTCCCGCCTCCATCACACTCTCACAGGGAGCAATCCTTGTACTGTCACACTGTCCTACTAACAGCCACCGCCCACATCGCCTTCACGCCTTCACGCCTTCACGCCAGGCAGTGGTTTAAGCACCTTCTAGGAATTAACTCGCCTAATCCTTCCAATAGCACTATGGGCGTTGGGGGGCAGAGGGCGTTGCCTATTAGTGTCCCATTTTACAGATGAGGCAATTGAGGTCCAGAGAGGTTAAGTGATGTGCCCTGGGTCACACATCTGTGACGGGCAGAGCTGGGATTGGAACCCAGGCTGCCTAGATCCACAGCCCTTGCTGTTGTACACGGTGCTGGGGGGTCACCTGACACCCCCACCCAAAGGGGACACGCTGCACACAGAGGCAGCAGACCCACTGCACAAGCACCTGGACCCCGGCTCAGGGACCCCACCCTGGGTTGCCCTCCCCCCTCCCCCATGACTGTGGTGCCCTCATCCCAGCACAGGAGAGGAGGGGACCAGACCCAGTGCCAGGGCCCCTCCCAGGGCTCCCCCAACACCCACCGCACCCCTGGCATGCTCTGAGAAATCGCCTGGTGCCTGCTTCCAGTGAAGTCTTAAAATTAGGTTTAATTGGGCCCCACAGGGCACAAAAGAAAACAAGAAAGAGGGGGTGGTCCAGCTGGTGTCCCTGGAGCTGTGCCAAGGCGTCGGGGTGGGGCCATGACGAAGGAGGAAGGGCCTGGTCTGCGCATCTGTAAAATGGGGAAATGGTGATCCTTTCCTGCTGCGGAGCGTTCTGGGCGCCGGCGGCTGCTGCCCACGCAGCTCCTGGCACAGGCCCGGGGTGCCATCGGAGTTAGGGAGCTGCCAGGGGTGGGTCACGTCCTCCTGGCCAGGATGCCACCTCCCCCCCGGGGGAGGGGTCACTGACCCTGTCTTCCAGATGAGGCCGTGGACGCTCGGAGAGGGGAAAGGACTTGCCAATGTGCCCCACTGGCCCAGCCGATGAGGGGCGAGCCCGGACTTGACCCGGGCCTGCCTGCGGCCCAGCCGCCTCTCCTGCCAGGCCCCTTGGGCCGTGGCGCCGAGGAGCGGTCGGGCTTAAGGCGCGTCCCCTTCGCGCCTCCCGCAGCGCCCCAGTTGTTTATCTGGGCCGGGGGTCCCCAGGGTCGCTGGCGAGGCCCCAGAGCCGCCCTTGGATAAACAAGCCCAGGCCCGGCCCAATTAAGCCGGATGCGCTAACGAGGCGGCTCGTTAACGAGCAGGGGTGCGCGCCCAGAGACACCTGCGCCGCCGGGCCACCTCCCCGCGTGGCGCAGGGAAGGGGCTGGAAGACCAGGCTCCAGGCCCGGACCGATCTGCCACTTGTTGACTAGGTGGCCTCGCTCTCCCCATCTGTAAAGTGGGTCCTAGAGTTTGCCGCGGCCCCAGGGCCTCGCCCGGGATCGGCCTGGGGGTCGGCGCGCGGTGCCGCTCGGCGCTCGCGGGCTCCTCGGGCGGAGGCGGCGCCTGGTGGCGGGCCCCGCGGCGCGTCCGGCCCGAGCGCGGAGCGCGAACTCCCCGGAGCCGCCCTCTGCCCTGCGGCGCGGCCGGCGAAGAGCAGGGCGGCCCGGGCGCGCCCCCTGCCGGCCGCCCCGCGCCGCTTCCCGCCCGGCCCCGCCGCGGCCGCGCTCGGCGCCTCGGTTTCCCCAGATGTGAAACAGGTGGGGGGCGGGGTGATGGAGCGGCTGGGGGCCGCGGGGGAAGGCGCGGTGCCGGGGAGCCCCAGCCCACCGAGGGGATTGGAGGACTCGGCCCGTGGGCCTCAGCCTTCTCCTCGGTAAAGCGGGCCCCGGGGGACGCGGGGAGCCCCGCGGCTCACGGCCCGCCCCCCTGCAGTGGACGGCTGCATTCACCGGGCCGCCGGCCCCCTGCTCACCGAGGAGTGCCGGACCCTGCAGAGCTGCGAGACCGGCAAGGCGAAGATCACCTGCGGCTACCGGCTGCCGGCCAAGTGTGAGTGCCCCACAGCCCCGCCCCTGTGGGGCGCAGACAGGGCGCCTTGTGTAATTGGGGGGCTAGGGTTGCAGCCCCCACAAATTGCTGGGGGGAGGCCTCCGCAGGGGGCGCTTCTTAACCTGAAGTGGCAGGACCTGGTCCCTCCTCGCGCATCCCAGGAAGCAGGTCGCGCGGAGGGGATGCGCAGAGGCTGGGAGGAGCAGGGACCTGAAGGCAGCGGAAGAGCTAAGGGGGCAGCGCCTTCGCGCACCCGCTGGCGCCCCATGTCTCGGCCGGGTCCACACAGATGTGGGGAGGGGGCCCAGCGGGGGCCTGCCTGTGTCTGTGAGGTGTGGGCTGGCGGGTCAGTGTGCGCGTGCGGATTTAGGCTCGAGGGCACACCTGCGTGCCCCTATGGGCGGGGTCCTCCCTTGGGGAGTCTCAGAACTTGGCGGGGAGAGGGCCCAGGCCGGCAGGGGGAGAGAGCCGAGGACCGCGTGGAGACCCCGGCCGGTCTGACTCCGTCGCCTCTCGCAGATGTCATCCACACGGTGGGGCCCATCGCGCACGGAGAGCCCAGCGCCAGCCAGGCTGACGAGCTCCGCAGCTGCTACCTGAGCAGCCTCGACCTGCTGCTGGAGCACCGGCTCCGCTCGGCGGTGAGGGGCGGGCGCCGCGTGGGGGGGCGGGGCGGCCTGCAGAGGGAAGCTGGCCCCGTTGCGGGGAGGATGGGACCGAGAGCGACGCTGACCCCAGTCCCCTCTCGCCCCCGCCCCAGGCCTTCCCCTGCATCTCCACCGGCGTGTTCGGTGAGTGGGATCTAGAGGAAGGGCAGGCGCGGGCAGTGGGCGGGCCCAGATGGAGGCTGGGGGCGGGAGTGGGCTGCCGGCCAGGGGGCGGGGCCGGGAGCGGGCATGGGGGTTGGGCGGGTGGCGCGGCGGCGAGGGGCGGGCCGGGGCCCTGGACTCACGCTCGCCCCGCCTCGCCGGGTGCCCAGGCTATCCCAACGAGGCGGCTGCCGAGATAGTGCTGGCCACGCTGCGCGAGTGGCTGGAGCAGCACAAGGACAAGGTGAGTCCTGGACCCATTTGGGGGGGACCAAGGTGGGGTGGTGGGGCGCATCCTGGCCCGCTGACCAGCCCCGCCAGTCATCGCCGAGAGCAAGGCCGTGTGGCCCTCTGCGCACCCTCCTCCCCCCTCGGGGCCTGTGGGCCCCTTCTGGACAGAGAGCCGGGTGAGCTCTCCTCGGAGCGAGCGGGTGGGGGGCGGGGGCGGCACGGCCGACGAGCCCTGGCTGAGGGGGCCCTGGCGCAGGTGGACCGGCTGATCATCTGCGTGTTCCTGGAGAAGGACGAAGCCATCTACCGGCAGCGGCTGCCCCACTACTTCCCCGTGGGTACGTACTGGCGCTGCCCTGCCCGCTTGCCAGCCGCCCCCCCCCCCCCCCCCCCCCCCCGCCCCCGCCCGGGCAGGGTCTCACTGTCCTCTGCCTTCCAGCCTGATGGCACCCGCCGCCCACCCTGCCCAGGACTGGTAAGCCGGGCCTGGCCCGCCGTGTGGCTGCCCACTAACCTGCCCACTAACACACCCGCGCACCCTCGGCCCGCTCACCCTCACGCAGGGAGGCCGGGGGCAGCTGGGAGGCTGGGGGCGGCCCGCCGGCCACGCAGCCTGACTCTCTGCTCCGCCCGCAGACTCGCCTGGGCCTGCCGGACCTCGCTCCCAGCTCTGAGAAGGTCGCCGAAGCCGCAGCTGGGCCCGGGCCTGGCCACTCGATTCTTTACTTCCACCCGGCCCTCAGAAGCGCCTAATAAAGACCACCCTTGTTGCAGCTCCTGTGTCTGACCCTGGCTGGGGTGAGGGAGGCAGCCCAGGGGTGGGACAGGTGCTTGGTTAAAGGGGCTGGCGGGAGGTCCCGGTGAGCCAGGCGGGGAGGCACGGCGACAGCAGAGGTGGGCGGCAGCACTGCACATTTATTGAGGGCCTGCCCCCAAGGAGCTCACAGCCTGGGGGCCAAGACCCCACGTGTGCTGGGGAGGGGTAAGGGGGGAGGTGAAGGCAAAAGGCAGGCATCGCAGGGACAGGTGGCCCAAGCAAAGGGGTGCGAAGCGGGCCCAGGCAGGGGGCGGGAACCAAGCACAGGCTGAAGGCTGCCCTCCTCCCCCAAGGCTGGCACCACCTGGGTGCCCCAGCTGCTTCACCCGACCTGAGCCACGCCCCCCATCATGTCAGCCCTCTCCGCCCTGACACCTTGACCATGCAGACCTGTGATAGGGTCTAGGGCCCTGGCCGGGAGAGCACGGGGGAGGTGGGGCCTATGAGGGGGCAGCTTGAAGCCTTGGTGGTCCTGGGTCCCTGGGCAAGTCCCCAAGGAACTTCCAAATTCCCATGGAAGCCCCTGGGCCAGCTAAGGAGGGAACGGGGGAGGGCTGAAGGGCAGGAAGCAGAACCCCACTAACCAGGAGGGGTCCCCAAGAGGCCGAGCCCCTCAGAACTGCCCCTGGCAGGGAGGCCTGGGGGTGGACAGGTGGAAGGCCAAGAGGAACCCACCTGGAGGGAAGGGGGACAGCCAGACACAGAGCAGCCAGGCGGGCAGCAGCAGAGCAGGGACACGCACACACGCAGCTCACCACCAGCATCCCCTTTAATAAAACATGGAAGGTTGTGTGACAGGGAGGGGGAGTGAAATATGACCATTTACAACCACAAAAAACCCCCTGTACGTGTCTAGCGCCTGGCAGAGGGGGCAGGCAGGGCGGCGGCGGGCGGGCCAGCCCTATTTGTAGAGGATGTCGTAGTGTCCGGGCCGGTAGAGCAGGTAGACCTTGGGCTCCGAGCCCTCGGGGAAGATGTGCGGGTTGGTGGTGCCGCCCTCGCCGCGGTCCATGTACTCCACCTGGATGGAGACGCTGAGGGCCTGGGCCAGCGCGATGATGTGGATGTGGTCGCTCTCCTTGCACATGGGCTCCACCTCCTGCGGCACAGGGGCCGGTCAAGGCCAGCGCGGGGCGCCCCGTCCCCAGTGCTTCCCCCCACCCTGAGGAAGAGGGTCCCAAGTCCGAGGAGTGGGGGGCACCTGCTGGCAGAACTCCTTGACGGTCCGGCCGCCCTCGATGAAGTGCTCGAAGAACGTGCTCTCGCGCTGCAGGTGGCCCGAGGTGAGCAGCCGCAGGTAGACCACCAGGTAGTCCGAGGTGCTCTGGTCGTTGAAGGAGGCCAGCAGGTCGGCCACCGAGGTCCGCTTCTCCACCTGCTCGATCAGGTCCATGAACTGCGCCCGCGGGGGACAGAGGGCGAGGTGAGGGAGGAGAAGGCGGGTCCACGCCACCACGGCCAGGCCGCCCGCCCTCCACCCTGGCCGAGTGGGCGCCAGGCGTGGCTGGGCTCACCGTATTGTGGAAATCCTCAATTGTGAACTCGGTGAAGCCCTGGGACACCAGGTCCTCTTTGCTCTTGGCAGACACAGCCTTGAACCTGCCGGCGGGAGAGAGAGGGAGGCGGGCATGGGCCCCGGGCTGCGTGCGGAACTGGGCAGCACTGGGAGCCCCGCCCCCAGCTCAGAGGAGAAACCCTGAGCAGGAGCCCAGCCTACCGTCCGGCCCCAGGTGGCAGTGCCCCCCCCCCGCCCCGGTCACCACGGCGGAGGGAGCCCCCAGCCCCTCACAGAGCCTCCCCCGCCACCCAGTACCCGCGCCACCCTGCTCACCGCTGCAGCTCCTTGCTGTCGTCCAGCAGCGCCTCCAAGTGGGAGAAGCCGAAGGCTCGATAGAAGCAGTTGCCATCAGGCCTGGTCTTGCGGATGTACGAGTACTTTTTGTGGAGGTCCTGCGGAGAGGCAGCCCCCCGCCCCCGCGCCCATCAACTCCAGGCCAGAAGCAGGGCAGCCCAGGAACCTCCAACAAAGATCAGCCCACAGCAGGGGGCAGCTGAGCTCCAAGCAGCCACGTGCCATCCTCGGCTGATGGATCCAGTAACCCTCTGCCCAGAGCCCCTGGTCTCAGGAAGCTGTGACTTAGGGACACACTGGTCGCAGCGACACCAAAGTAGTTTCCAGCCACTGGGCATGCCAGGCTGCTGGCCTGCAGGCCTGTTTGTTCATAAAAACCAGCAAGTGAGTGGGTCCTTGCCCAGCGTGGCTTTCCCACTGAATGAAGTCCTCCAAAGCATGAGAGCCCCAGGGCAAGCGAGTTAGGGCTGGGGGTGCAGGGCCGGAGGCCCCCACCACACAGCCCCAGGGTGGGAAACGGCCTCCCTGGCCTCGTTTTTTTTTTTGAGGAAGAGTAGCCCTGAGCTACCATCTGCTGCCAATTCTCCTCTTTTTGCTGAGGAAGCCTGGCCCTGAGCTAACATCCATGCCCACCTTCCTCTACTTTATACGTGGGATGCCTACCACAGCATGTCTTGCCAAGCAGTGCCATGTCCGCATCTGGGATCCGAACCAGTGAACCCCGGGCCGCCGAAGCAGAACGTGCGAACTTAACCGCTGCACCACTGGGCCAGCCCCTTGCCTCCTTCTGAACTCTACCCTGTTCGCTCACAGGTGCCATCTCCATCCCATCTTTTCCAGTTTCCTCCCCAAACTCCATAGGATTTCTTCTGTCTGTCACACAGCGGGCCCTGAGTGCCGCCTGGCTAGCAGGCTCACTCCCCTGGCCCAGGCACCCTCCCCTTCCCCTCCCCCCCCATTCTCCTTAACCCCACCCACCTTCCGATGGCCTGGCTTCCTTCCTGACCGAGGACTTGAACTGAGAACCCCTCCACCGCGGCCTTCTCTCCTGATCCGTGGAAGGCCTGAGGCTGCCAGAGCCGCCCTCAGCTCGGCACCAGAGCCCGTCCCCTCCCTTGGGCTCAAGGACATGGCTCCAGGAAGTCTCCCCCTCCTGCATCAGTTCTCTCTCCCTACTGGTTTAGACCCATCAGCATGTAAACACAACGCTAGTTCTCACTTTGAAAAAATCCTTTGCTTGGGGCTGGCCCCGTGGCTGAGCGGTTAAGTTCGCGCACTCCGCTGCAGGCGGCCCAGTGTTTCGTTGGTTCGAATCCTGGCTGCGGACATGACACTGCTCATCAAACCACGCTGAGGCAGCGTCCCACATGCCACAACTAGAAGGACCCACAACAAAGAATATACAACTATGTACCGGGGGGCTTTGGGGAGAAAAAGGAAAAAATAAAATCTTTAATAAAAAAAAAAAAAAAAAAAAAAAATCCTTTGCTTCACGTGAATTCCCTTCCAGCTACCACCCAGTGGCTCTGCTCGCCTTCACAGCAAGTTGTCCTCCAGAAGCTGTCCCAGCTCACGGGCTCCATTCTCTCCCGTGAACTCAATCCAGGCAGGTGCTTACTCTCCTCAAGGTCACGGGCACCCTCCTAAGTCAGAGGGTCAAGCCCACTCCTCCCCAGACTGGCCCCTTGGCAGCATCCACCTCACGCCACAACCCCCCCACCGTGACACCACCCACCAGGCCCTCCTCCTCCGCGGGGCTTGCACAACTCCCCCTTGTCTTCCTCCTCTCTCACTGCGACTGCACTCATCTCTACCCTGTGATGGCCTGGGCCACCACCAAACCACACAGCACCCTTCCCCAAGACACCGTGTGTGACCTGCCAGAAGACGGCCATGCCACACAACCCTCCCTGGGGCCTGCCACAGGGAGGGGACAGCCCTGCTCAGGCCTGGACAGCTTGCACTTGTCCCTTATACTCTTATTTATTTATTTTTTTTGAGGAAGATTAGCCCTGAGCTAACATCTGCCGCCAATCCTCTTCTTTTTGCTGAGGAAGACTGGCCCTGAGCTAACACCCGTGCCCATCTTCCTCTGCTTTATACGTGGGATACCTACCGCAACATGGCCTGCCAAGTGGAGCCATGTCTGCATCCGGGATCCAAACTGGCGAACCCTGCGCCGCCGAAGCACAATGTGCACACTTAACCACTGTGCCACCAGGGCTGCCCCTAGACTTGCTCTCTTGATGGCACTGGTCTTAGGATTTAAAGAGCCCCAAGTGTAACCCTTCTCAGCCCTCGACTCCAATTTTGCCCCACACAGCCAAGTGCCTCCCTACACCTCCTCTGAACCAGGGGGCCACACGCGGCCTGCACCTCCCCACGCCCTGCACCTTGCGGCCTCCCCTACAACTGCAATGCCACCGCTCAGCTGTTCCAGCCCAAGCCCCAGTCACTGCCGACGCCTCACCAGGTCCGATCCAGCGCGGCTCCTTCAGGCTTCGTCTGCAGCACATCCAGGACCCTCCCTTCCCGCTCCCTGACCCTCCCCCTGCTCCCTCACTCCTGCCACTGCACTGCAAAGGCCCTCCAGGGGCTCCTGCTCCACCTGGCCACCAGTCACCAGAGACAACTGTCCCTGCTCCGCCTCTCCCTCCCGTCCTCTCTCTGGCTACAAGCCCCCCGCGTGTCTCCCCCTCTCCTGCTCCGCCACTCTGCTGCAGCCACAGTGGCCTCCACGCCGCCCCTTGACCCCCGCCCGGCCCTCAGCCCCACCATGCTGCCCAGGGGACCGAGACCTGCTCCCTGCCTCTCAGTTCACGCCAGCACGTCCTGGGGAGCGTTCGCCGAGCAGCCTCTTGAACACCACAAACCACCCGCTCCCTGCCTCCTTGTCCCGCTTCACCTGTGCCCACAGCGCTCACCCCTTCTGACACATGCATTTCAGTGACCTCTGCTTTGCTGTCTGTCTGTCCACTGTGACCTGGAAGCTTCCGGAGGGCAGCAGTCTGTCGGCTGTGGCCATCACTCTATCTCCGGTCCCTACGACAGGGCCCAGCCCACAGCGTGTGCTCTTAAGTGTCAAACCAACAGCACACAACAGGAACAGAGGGCCCAGCTCCCTGTGGCCACCAGAACCGCAACCAGAATCGCTCTGAGCACTTGGTCTGTGCCAGGCCCTTTGTGAGGGCGGAGGCCACCATCCTAGTCACCGTCAGGGGCCTAGTGCACAGAGCACAGTCCCTCAGCTCTGCCTGGGCTGTGTCCGGGCTCAGGCTCCTCCCTGGGAGAGAAGGCGGGCTCAGGCCCAGCGCAGACTGGGGGTGTTGGGGGCACGGAAGCAGATGTCCTGCACAGACGGCGTGTAGTGGACACTCTAACATGCACTGAATGACTCAGGCGGCGAACCCGAGGCCCATCCTGTTGATTTCACCAGGGGGGCCTAGAGTGACACGCAGGCCTTGAAATGAGGCCCACTCTACCAACCTGCCACGTAGGGAAGAGGGACCCACAGATTCCTAAGGCCCAGCTGTGGCCCAGGCACTGAGCTCAGCTCCTGACCACTGTCAACGTCAACCTCACACTCGCCCTGTGGGGCCGACGGAGGCGCCGAGAAGTTCAGCGCACTGCCCAAGATCACCCAGCTGGCCATGAAGCCAGCACTCAAACCCAGGTATGTCATGCGCCAGAGCCAGTGCCTTCATCTCTCCACTGGCCTTTTGGGGAAATCAGAGACATCCTGAGCAAGGAGTCAGAATAAACCACAGGCCACACACAGCTGGATCCGGCCTGCAGGTATGCTGTTTGGCCCACACCTTTTAAATGTGAATTAGCTGCCTACTGTTACAAGTCAGATGTCACATCAAAATCATTATTTCTGGCGTGTCCTGGAAAAACAGATCCAGTGACAATGGAGTGACAGGCAGGGTCATTCATTCACCCCAGGGGCCTGCCCTCCCTCCTCCTGGCTGACACCGAGCTGTGGTGCTGCTGTTCGTCACCTGCCCTGGCGCCTGCAGTCACCTGGGTTACCTGCCTGACCCCAGAAGTGGGTAACCTCGAGGGCTCCCCCTTTCAGATGGAAGGTCCTAAGCATCTCTGATCTTTGGGAGAAGCGGGAGGAGTGACATTTACTAAATCCCCAGCCTGCTCCACTGGATACTGTCCACACACTGTCACACCTCGGCCTCCCGGCTCAGAGAAGAGAGTGAGTGCTGAGGGACTTACCTCAGTTTGTAAACGATGCAGCAAGGCCCCTGTGCCCCACCGCTGCCTGCCTCTCCACAAAGATCCCATGCCCCTGCCGCCACCCTCCTCCCCAGCTCCGCCCCACCGTGAGCACCGAGCCTGCCTAGGGGCAGATGCTTTTCTCATCCCGATTTTACAGACAAGGAGCCCACGGCGCAAACATGGAAAGACCTGCCGAGGATACCGCTGCTGTGTGGCAGTCAGGATCTGAAGTGAAATCTTTTTGATTCCAGACTCTGGAACCGGCAACCAGAGGCCTCCCCTGACACCCTACCCTCTCCGCGGCCAGGCCAGCGAGGCGCACATCTGAAGCAGGCACGCGTCTGCTCCTGCCCCCTGGCCAGGCTCCCACCTTGATCTTCTGTTGATAGATGTTGTCATCCTCAGCATACTCCTTGTACAGGACCGACAGCTCCAGCCGCTCCGAGACCAGAGGGTTCTGCACAGCAATCTGCAGGGGGCAGGAACTCCATCACGCTGTGGCAGGCCGATGGAGTGACTCACTCCTAACAGCCAGAACACCTACGTGAAGGGTGCTGGGCAGTCACCCAGTGCACAGTGACCCCCCCCCCCCCAACAAAAGGCATCCGGTACCTAGCACAGCATGGAGAGGGAGGGCCTTCCAAAGTGGAGATTAACAACAGGCCTCAGGCCCAGCCTCTGCATCCCTGCAGCAGGGCCGCCGGCCCCAGCCCCTCACCTCTTGCTGAATTCGGTCCTGCTGAGCCATGATGGCTTCATCATAGGCAAGACAGTTAACACCTGGAAGAAGGAAGAAGGCCACGGATTACAGTGGGCCTCGGCTCTCTCCACTCCAGGCAGCCGGATAGAGGACAAGAACGGCCCAGGGCAGGAGACTAGACTTGGCATCTGGGAGCATGTGTCTCACACCCAGCTCCACCCAACGGTGTAATCTCGGCAAAGTGCCTTCCCCTCCTGGGCCCTAGCCTCCTCAGCTTTAAAGTGAAGGGGTGGAGGGGGTCACGCCCAAGGGGTGCTCTTCCAGCCCTAACACCCTTCCCCCTGCTTTCTAACATCACTCCCCAGCAGCCTGGGAATGCGCTGGGGCAGGCAGCGTCTCTTGGGGAAAGTAAGATGAGGAGCAGAGGGCTGGGCTGGATGAGGGCTTCCTGTGAGCCTGGCTTGACTCCACCATACCCCTCCGCCGTCCTGGCTATTCCTAATGGTGCCCATTTTACAGACAACCAGACAAATGCAGACAGGTGAAGGAAGCCGCCCAAGGTCGAGACTAGCAAAGACCTGCGGTCAGACCCATGTTTGCCTAATTCCAGAGTCTAAGCTCTTCAAATCCGGCTCCTCTGCTCCCTCGCCGCAGAAGGCCTTTCCTCAACTGTAAAGAGGACCTGATACCACCACCCGCCTCCCTCCTTGAAATGTCCCAGAGGAGATGGGAGACCATTATCTGCTTAGCAGGGAGGTGGGCAGGTCCACCCTGTGGACCCGGCTCTGAGCAGCCACTGCAGAGGAGCCGGAAGACCCGAATTCTGGTCCTGGCTCTTTCTTATGCGACCCTGAACAAGTCCCTCCTCGGGGCCTGGAGTGTGTGGTTAGAATGGGGTGTGAGTGTGTGCTGAATGACTCGTAAGGCCGATCGTTTTGGGTGAGCATCGCGGATCCTCGGCTGGGCCTCGACCCATCGGCACGCGGCCCTGCAACAGGGCTGTCCCTCCCCTGCAAGTGACCTACTCAGTCCCAGGGCCTAACGCAGGGGTGAAAAGGAGAGGGTGGCACTCCTCAGGGGTCTAAGCAGCGCCCAGGCTGGCGGAAAGGGTCTGCCAGGCCAGAAGAGGGGGCTCCCCGGAAACGAAGGCGCGGTCGTGGGGGGCACACGCCGGCGGCCGCCGCAGCATCCCCAGGGGCCCGCCCCGTCCTTTGTGCTCCGGCCGGCGGAACTCGCCGCCCTCCCGGCGCGGGCTGCTCCGGAGAGGCGGCCGGCCCGGCCTAGGCCTCGGCCGACTGCGGGACCGGGGCGGGGGCCGGGCCCGGCGCGGGGCCCCCCGCGCGGGGGGCAGGGCGAGGCGGGGCGGGGCGCGGCGGCGCAGGCCCCGCCCCGGGCGCGCGGGGAAGGGACGGCCGCGGGCCCGGCCCGCCCCGCTCGCCGCCCGGCCGGGGGTCGCGGCGGCTCCTTCCATTGTGAGGGGGAGGGGAGGCGGCGGCGGCAGGGCTGTCCGCGCGCTCCGCCCCGGCGCCGGCCACCCCGCGCCAGCCTCCTCGGGGACGGGCAGCCCGGCGTGGCCCCCGCTGGCCCGGCCCGGACGACCCTCCCCTGCTCTGTACCTTCCGAGTCGCTGCCCAGCGACTCCTGCTTCTGCTGCTGAGGTTCCTCCGCCGCCATCTTTAAACAGCGCCGCACTGCCGACCGCTTCCGGGTTACCAGTTGCCCTCCTCCCGGAAGGGAGCCCCTCCTCGTGGCCCCTCCTTGGCAACGCCCCTAGCAACGGGATCCCCTCCGGCGCCCGCACCCGAGGGGCGCGCCGTCCGGGAAGGCCGCCCCGGCCCGCCCCTGCCGCCTGCGCCCCTGCCGGGCTCCGTCCTCCGTCACCCAGCGTTCCCGGGGTGATAAGGGCCTCCTGCAGCCAATCAGTTTTCTTCCCACGGGAGTGGGAAGCGCGGATTGTGTTACCGAGATAAGTGGGGAGATGAAATTAAAATCACCGAGGGCGGCGTGCCTGCGGCGGGCTCAGAACTCAGGACAGGCGAGCGCGGTGAGAAGGGAGATGGGCGATCGTGCTGACTAGGGGCCCGGACTCCCCCGCCCCGTCCATCACCGCCCCTCTGCACTGAGCCGCGGTTCTGAGCCGCTTTGGAGTCCTGCCTCCAAAGGGAGAACGTGTTCCTTAGGGTCAAGGCCGAATTCTCGGGACCTAATTTTGGACTCTGTGCCCTTCGGCTTATGAGAAAAGTAGGGTCTTTTTAAAAGAAAGGAATTGATAAAAATGGAAAACAGGACTGGGCCAGTGGCGTAGCGGTTAAGTTCATTTGCTCCTCGGCCGGGATTCGGGTTCGGATCCCGGGCGATGACCTGCACACTGCTCATCAAGGCATGCTGTGGCAGCGTCCCACATACAAAATAGCGGACGATCCGGCCGGCCTGGTGGCCGAGTGGTTAAGTTCCCACGCTCCGCTTCAGCAGCCCAAGGTTTCGCTGGTTCGGATCCCTGGCGGCGACACGGCACCGCTCATCAGGTCATGCTGAGGCGGCATCTCACATAGCACAACCAGAAGGACCCACAACTAGCATACACAACTATGTACTGGGGGGCTTTGGGGAGAAGAAAAAGAAAAGAAGATTGGCAACAGATGTTAGCTCAGGTGCCAATCTTTAAGAAAAAAAGGAAAAGATCAGCACAGATGTTGGCTCAGAGCCAATCTTTCTCACCATTAAAAGAAAAGGGAAAACAGATTAGTAGTTGCCAGGAGTAAAGAGCTGGTGGGGGCCCAGGGAAGTGGGTGTGCTTGTAGAAAGGAAACGTGAGAGATCCTTGAGGAGATGGAAATCTTGGCTGTAAATGAATAGCCTGATAGAAACTGTACTATAGTTTTGCACGATGCAAGATGTTACCAATAGAGGAAACTGGGTAAAAAGTACATGGGATCCTTCTGTGTTAATCTATTAAAATTGCCTGTGAGTTATCTAAAGATAAAAAGTTTAAAAAAATGGCATGGCCTTGAAAGCTAAAGATGCTGTTATTTAGAGAAGTTATAGTCTGGAGCTCTGGTCCCCAACTTTTCACTATCGACGGCCTTTTTCATGACATGACAGTGGCCTTTCAGCCCTTGAGGAGGCTGCCCGTGGGCCCCAATGAGATCCCTCGGTGTGTGGCAGTACAGGAGTGGAATGTGACCGAAAGTTGCATGAGCTGAGTCCAGTCCTGGAGCAGGGGCACTTGGCGCCTGGGCTCGCCGCACAGCCCACGGTGGCCTTCTCATAGCAGCACTACAAATGCCAAATCTGTGTCCCAGCAACGCTGCGGGTTAGTATTCACTGGGTCATTGAACCTTGGGGTTGCTTCCAAACTCAAGAAAGCAAAGGGTCTGCCCTGTTTGGACCCCATACTGACCAAACTTCATTCCTTTTCCCAATTTTAACAAGGAAATCTGTAACCGCCAATCAGATGTTCAGTCAGAAGAGACCTGGTGTTACAAAATGGAGAGCTGAGATAATTGATGACAAAAGGTGGTTTCTATTTGGCTTTCCAAATCTGGCAGATAGCTATAAGACAACCCCCCTTCCCCCAATACTTGGACTAGGAAGTCCACAGGGGGAGCTGGGGTTAGGACTAATGGCCGGGACAGGGAACACAGCTGCTCTGCAGAGTGAGACGGAATCCCACTTGGGGCCCAGTGCTGGACTGCAGCCAGGCTACCAACGCCAAGTAATGCCTCCCTCCCACACAAGGGTCCCGGTCTTGAAAGACAGACCCGCACCCTCAGTGTACAAAGGGCCTGTGACTGCGGGTCCTCTCTCCTGGCTGCTGCCCAGCCCTCCCCTCTTGTCAGGCAGAATGGGAAGGAAATGAGCTGAGGGAAGCTTTGGTCTCAATCCAGCCGAGGATGGCCCACTTCTGCCCTGCTCTTTTCCATGACAATTTATTTGGTCATTAATAACTGTTCTCTTACTCTCATCCCATCTCTCCTATCACTTTTACTACTTTAGGATTTTGATTTTCTATCCAGAGGCATCGAAAACCCAACTGCACATTTGCTGGAGTCACCAGCATAGCTCTAGACTTTTCTCTCTGCCTCCCAACTTGCCAACCCAGAAATGGCCTAGCGGGGGCGGCCCTGGCTGCCGAGGCCTGCAAGGAGACGGGCAGCAGTGGTGCTTGGGTTCAGGCTGGTGTTGGATACAGTCGCCAGGGTGACAGGCAGCAGCCCAGAACTTTATTTTCCATAGGACCAACACGGCACAGGTGCCTCCTCACAGCCCTGATGGCCCGGAGTGTGTCAGGCGGAGGGAGAGGAGACCCCACGCACGGCCCAGGGGCTGTGAAACCTCAGCCGCAGAGGAAGAGTTTACAGAACGGCACAGGGGCCCTAGGGGGCCACCTGGCTTGCAAGCCCACCAACCTCTTCCACCTCTCAGGGGAAGGGGCCAGGCAATGAGGACACAGCATGGGCCCTGGGACAGCCACAACCCTCACAGCAAGGCCATGGCCAGAAGGCCTCGAAGGTGGGCCAAAGATGAGGCGTGGTGATCCCTCCCCAGGCAGGCTTGCCTGTCAGGCAGCTGCCCAAGAGGGGGCCTGCCCGTCCCCAAAGGAACCTCTGGAGCTGCTGCTGCAGGAACCCACGACGGTCCCCAGGCACCCGGCTCCAAAATCACGGTCTAGCGAGGCTGTGACGGCGCAGACCCAGACTGATGAAGCTGCGTGGGGACTGGACTTCGGGCCGCTGGCGGGGTTGATAGTTGCCTGCAGGATCCAGGCCACCTAGGGCAGAAAGCAAGCAGAGGAGGGGAGAGGGCCCCCAGACTCACACCACCCACACTCCTGTAAATGCCTCCCGTTCCCACTCCCCTCAAGGCTGGTGAGGGTCCAATCCAGGGGTGCGGGTCCCCGGGAGAGCCCCGCAGCACCAGGAGAACGAGTCATTAGCCTCCTTATTGCTGCCGTGACACATCACCACGAACCTAGTGGCTTAAAATGACACAACTGTGTAATTTCGCAGTGCTGGAGGCCAGAGATCTGGCATGGATTTCACTGGCCTAAAATCAAGGTATCTGCGGGCTGTGTTCCCTTCAGGAGGCTCAGGGAGAATCTGCTTCCTAGTCATGCAGGGTGTTGGCCGAATTCTGCTCCTTGCAGCTGTTGGACTGAGGTCCCCATGTTGTAAACCAAGGGCTGTTCCCAGCTCCTAGAGGCCAGTGCATTCCTTGGCTCACGGCCCACTGTCTCCATCTTCAAAGCCAGCAACAGCTGCTAGTAATTCTCAGGTGGCACGCTGAGATGCGCATCACCTGCCTGGCGTGTCCGCCTTAAGGACTCGTGTGATCACACCGGGCCCACCACACAATCTCCCGTTCCAACGTGCTCAGCTTTAGTCCCATCTGCAAAGTCCCCATTGCCACGTAAAGTAACATATTCATAGGTCCCAGGGGTGAGGGCAGGGACATCTGTGGGAGGACATTACTCTGCCTGCCATACCACCTTCATTTTACAGAAAACGGAGACTGAGAGAGGTCATTTAGTAAACAGACAAGCCAGGCCTCCAACCCAGGCCTTCTGACTCCCAGTCCACTGTTCTTGACGTTATGGCATCTGCCCTGACTGCAGCTTCTCCCGACCCGGGGCGCACAACCGGCGGACACCCACCTCTCTAGACTCAGCATCAGACAGACCCGGACACATAACGTGCTGTTTGGGAGTATAAGGAGCCTTGTTTTCTCCACAGGAAATGGCCCCAGGGCCCGATTTGGTTAGGGATGAGAGAGGGACACTGAAAGGTGACCAGAGTCAGCCTAGAGGCCACACTGAGGATCAAGGGGACATTGGGGTTCAAGCATGACAGGTCACTTGCAGCCTGAACTCTCCCGTCCACCGCAGGGTACGACCCTGCCACCTCCACGCCTGCTGCGGGGCCCGCGGGGTGTGGAGGGTGTGGCGGGAGGAGCTGTTGGGCTTGCCAAGGGCTTCCTCAGACCAGGATCCTGAGGACTTGTAACTGCTGGCTGCCCATCAACCTGAGGAGGGGCTCAAGACGCCCAGCTTTGGGCTGGAGTAGTCCTCCTTGGACAGGGGGACCACTGTGTCCCTTTGGGTTCCAGGGGCACAAAAATGGGGGACACCCAATCAAAACCCTTGGCAGGGCAGTTGAGTTACTATAGAAAACCAAGACAACACTCCTCTCCTGGTGTCACATTCTTGCTTGGTGGCAGCCCCATGGCCTACTCTGTGCCTACAGCAACGCTGAGCCAACCAAGGGCCAAGCAGCTCGGAGGCCTCTGCTCAGGAAGTGGGAACAGGAAAGCCTCCCAGAGTGAGGCATGGGACAGGGGTCACCCTGCTGTTTGGGAGGAGATGCCTATGAGGCCCCTTCTCCCATCTCCCAAGACAAGGGAGCAGTTGCGGTGCCTGCAGGTTATAGGTAGGTGCCCCCGGCTCAGCAGCCCAGCCTGGCCGGAGGCTCCGGCCGGCCCTCCAGACCCAACATCGGGGGCCCCCCCCCCCCCCCCCCCCCCCCCCCCCCGCCTCCCCTGGCCAATCTCACCCCGCGCACACCTCCCAGCATTCTGGGCCGTGTCCCTGCAGGCCTAGACACAAAGGCTGGTTTGTGTGGAAGGAAACAAGCCTTTCAGGAGGCAGGCAGCCAATCCCTACCCTCAGGGAGCAGCCACAGGCATGAGCTGAATGGCCACAGTAGCCAGGCACGGGGTCCTGCAGGCATCACTGGACACCACATGAGAAGGAGGGAAGACCACGCAAAGGGAGGGAAGGCAGGCTCCACCTCTAGCCTCGCTCAACACAGAGCAGGACCCAAGGGCCCTGGGGAAGAGGGGTGGCGAGATGTGCGTTCTGACACCCCGGGCCTAAGGCCCCTCAGCTCTCACCTGGCATCTTTGCCCACTGTCCCGTCCCCAGGCGTCCTGGTAGCCTCAGGTCCCCAGGGAACACTGAACCTATGCCTGTTCAGAAGTCACTCACATCACACCAGCAGGGGACACAAAGGAGAGCAAAAGGCACATCTTCCTCCAGGGGTGGGGCCGGCAGGTCTGATCATCCCTCCCAGACGCTGGCAGTCAGGCGGCCAGCTCAGTGTGCAGCGCTTCCCAGGCAGTCCCAGCCCTCAGAAGCAGCAGTGAGCAAGGGCCCTGGGGATGGAGGAACAGCAAATTGCCCAGGCCAAGAAGGAGGAGGGGGCAGGAAAGCAGGCAGGGAGAACAGGAAGGCAGCCAGTGCCCAGCATTTACAGATACAGCGCGAAAAGGAAAGGGGCCCAGGGTCGACACAAAAAGGCAAGATACTGTGAAGTGCCCGCCTCAAACTAAGAAGAGCAACTCACACCTGAGAAACGGCTGGAGCCACCCACCAAGGAGGACAGGGGAGGCTGGCCCCAGAGAAGGGGCTTCCGGTGGCAGAGCTGGCCCCAGTGGGAAAGAGACAGACACAGAGACATGCATGCAAGGCTTTGAGCTTGGGGCCACCGCGGGAGCTAGAGGAGATGAGCAAGGGCTGCCCAGTGACAGGAGAATCTGTGTTCCCAGGAAGCCAGAAAACACAGGAAAGCATGCAAAGGAAGTGCCACTTCCAGGCAGCAAGGAGAACGGCTGAGCACACACGACCTCCTCCAGGGCACAGAGCCAGCAGATACACCGCCAGCGGGGCCCTCCTCTCCACACCCCCACCCACCACCACCCTCGGCTCAAGTGTGGAGGCAGGAGCCCAGGCCGAAGGCACGATAAGTTTCGGAAGCAAGGTTTAAATAGACTTTATTGTTACAGGGGGACCCTACCGAGCAGGGCCTTATAAGCCGATACATGTGGTCCCAGGATGTCTCTGTGGTCCCAGGATGTCTCCGTGGAGAAATCAAGGTCATGATTGCAGACGTGGTCACTGTAACTGAAGGACATGATCCAGGGGAGGCCGGCCAGGAATGCAGCAGACAGGATGAGGACAGGCCGAGGGCGGTCAGGTCAGAGGGGGAGGGAGAGGTCGGCTTCCTTCACTCCCGCTTCTTGTAGTCATCCAGGTGTGACAGGATCCAGCCCGCCGGCAGGAGGAAACACAGGAAGCAGGAGGTGAGCCCAATGGTGACATCCTACACAGAGCACAAGGAAGAAGGAGCCCCCAGAGTGAGGATTCCCCCAGGCTTCGGGCAGTCTGAGAGGTCTTCCCAGGCAGCAGAGAGCCCCCCGTCAGGGGGCCAAGATTCACACTCCAGAGAAGGGACACAGCAGATCCAAGGCCGGCTCCAGGCCTTGAGATAAAGGGTCATACATGGGGGCAGGGGGCCAACCTGGGTTAGGACCCCTGGAGAGTCCACCACCAGATGATGACGTGAAGGACAGCAACCAGGATTTTAGACCTCCTTTAAAGCTGGTCGCTGGGATCCAGGACGCTTGCACAGGCAGAGAACGCTAAACACGCATCTCGCCTTCCCTGCCTTGACCACCCCCCTTCCCATCTCCTTTCCAGAACCGTTATTCGTCCTTTGGAGCTGGGGATAAAACACTTTTCACAGCCACTTCCATATTCCCTAGAGCAGTTGAGATCACAGGACAACCCGCAGTCAGCCTTGAGGGCGAATTCCTTCTCTGCCACTGAAGTGGTGACTTTTGACAAGTCAACGCCCTGCTCCTAAATTTCAGTTTCCTCCGCCACGGAGCGGAGACCACGGCCCTCTCTTCTCGGGGTCATCGGGAGGACGGGATGAGCCCGGCACGGCGCCCGGCACACGGCAGACACTCAGCGGACGCCAGCTGCCGCGAGGATCGCTAGTGTTCCCTCCATCGCAGCGCTCCCCCGGCTCCGCTCCTAACTCGGGGCCCCTCCCCCGGACGCTGAAGACCCGCCTTCAAGGCCGCGTCCTGCCGCTGAGGCCAAGGAATAAACGGGCCACACAGTGAAGGCTGTCAGTAAGGGTTAGCCCTCCCACGTTTCCGGGAATTACAGGAGCTGTCGGGGTCCTCTCGGCCCCCCTGCCCCAATAAGCATCCTCGCCGCTGACCGTCGGCCGGCACCCGCAGCGGACCGATGAGTGAAGGGGTTCAGAGAGGGCTCAGGAGGCTTGCTCGAGGCTTCACAGCGAGTAAGCGACAGGGCTGCGGCTGACTGCGCACCGACTGTCCCCGGGCGCTGCGCCCTCGCTCGCGCCGGCGGACACGCCCAAACCGCTCCGGCCCGCGCATCTCCCGCGCCTCCCTGCCCGCTCCTCACCATGGTCCCGAGCTGCTCCTGCGGCGGCTTGGAGTGGACCTGGGCGCGCTGCACCGGGAGCCGCCGGGCCGGGCCGGTCAGGCCCCTCAGCAGCAGCGGCGTCAGCGCGGACATGACGGCACCGGACAGACTGCGCAGAGCGGCTGCCTACAGCCCAAGGTCGGGAAATTAAAATGGCGGCAGCGGCCGGAAGTTCCGGAGCTGGGGAGGCCGGGAAAGGGCGGCCCGGGAGTCTCCCGGAAATGACGAAGGGCCAGCCTCCCGCCTGCCCCTGTCAGTTTTTGGCGCGTTCCTCGAAACAGCCAATCGATGCCATCTTACCACCGATGGGCGGGACACCTGGGGGGGGGGCGTTCCTTTCCGTTATGCCCCGCCTCTAAGGCGGTCTATCTTCATGAGTGACATCTATGGCCATCCAATCATATAAGCCAGAAACTGAGGCGGCATTATTGACTCCTCCTTCCATTCATTCTCAAATTTCTTTATTCAGAAATACCCTCTTCTGCGCCAGGGCTCCGTTACTTCTGGCCGGGAGGACTGGCACTAACCTCGCAGCTGAACTGTCCTCATTACTATTACCCTCTCCAATTCCAGTCTTCATGCCTCTCCCCCTACCTCCACCCCTCCCTCCTTTTTAAACATAAATCTACCCAAATCATACACCTACTTAAAAAACTTTCAGGGGCCGGCCCCGTGGCTGAGTGGTTAAGTTTGCGCACTCCACTTCGGCGGCCCAGGGATTCGCCAGTTCGAATCGCGGCTGCGGACACGGCACTGCTCATCAAGCCATGCTGAGGCGGCATCCCACATGCCACAACTAGAAGGACCCACAACTAAAAATACACAACTATGTACCAAGGGGCTTTGGGGAGAAAAAGGAAAAATAAAATCTTTAAAAGAAAAAAAACTTTCAGTGGCTCCCTATTGCTTACTAGACAGTCTCAATTCCTGGACGCCACTCTCCAGCCTCATCTCTAACTATTCCACACCATTCCACACCTTCCTCCTTGCTCTCTGGTCCTCCCCACACACACACACGATCCTTTTGCCACTTTGTATTTTATGCTCTACCTAGAACACTTTTTCAACCCTTACCTAGCCTTCCTTTTGCATCACACCAACTCCTACCTCCGGGCCTCCACTTACTGGTACAGCTTACTTTATTCAGCAGATTTTTTTTTTTTTTTTGGTGAGGAAGATTGGCCCTGAACTAACAGCTATTTTGTATGTGGGACGCTGCCACAGCATGGCTTGATGAGTAGTGTGTAGGTCCATGGCCAGGATCTGAGCCCATGAACCCTGGGCCACCGAAGCAGAGGGAGGGAACTTAACCACTACACCACTGGGCTGGCCCCTATTCAGCAGGTATTTATTAGCCCCTACTGTGTGCCGGGCACTGTCCTAGACACATAGTAAACAAGGTAGACCAGGCTCCCTTATCACAGAACTGACATTCCAGAGAGGAGACGGTTAATGAAAAGCTATCAAAAGTGCCATGATATGATAAGAAGTCACCAGGTAGCCTTTGCTGGGCACCCCTGGCCTGTGCGGCCTCGGATGCCCAGCAGCCACTGTGATGGTAAAGCTGGGTACCTGAGGGTTACTGTAAATATTCAATAAGATTACCTTTCAACCTTCTTATGAAGAGAAGTTAATCTTGTCAATTTACTGTTTTCTTGTTTAACTGGGGGGGTGACTCAAGGGTCACAAGGATTTATGAGCTTGTTCTTTTTAAAAATTTCTTTTTAATTGCAGTAACGTTGGTTTATAACATATCAATTTCAGTGTACATCGTTATATTTTGATTTCTGTGTAGATTACATGATGTTCACCACCCAAGACTAATTACAATCCATCACCACACACATGTGCCTTATCACCCCTTTCACCCTCCTCCCTCCCCCTGGTAACCACCAATCCAGTCTCTGTCTCTATGTGATTATTTGTTGTTGTTTTGTTGTTTGAGGAAGATTAGCCCTGAGCTAACTACGGCCAATCCTCCTCTTTTTGCTGAGGAAGACTGGCCCTGAGCTAACATCCATGCCCATCTTCCTCTACTTTATATGTGGGACACCTGCCACAGCATGGCTTGCCAACTGGTGCCATGTCCGCACCCGGGATCCGAACCAGCAAACCCCAGGCCTCTGAGAAGCAGAACGTGGGAACTTAACCGCTGCACCACTGGGCTGGCACTGATTATCTGTTGTTTTAATCTTCTATTTATGAGTGAGATCATACTATATTTGACTTTCTGCCTCTGACTTATTTCACTTAGCATAATACCCTCAAGGTCCATCCATGTTGTCACAAATGGTCAGATTTCATCCTTTTTTATGGCTGAGCAGTATTCCATTGTATATATAAACCACATCTTCTTTGTCCATTCGTCTCTTGATGGGCATCTAGGTGGCTTCCAAGTCTTGGCTATTGTGAATAGTGCTGCAACGAACATAGGGGTGCATGTTTCTCGATGCATTCGTGTTTTCATGTTCTTTGGATAAATACCCAGCAGTGGAATAGTTGGGTCATATGGCATTTCTATTCTTAATTTTTTGAGGAATCTCCATACTGTTTTCCATAGTGGCTGCACCAGTTTGTATTCCCACCAGCAGTGTATGAGGGTTCCCTTCTTGCCACATCCTCCCCAACACTTGTTGTTTCCTGTCTTGTTAATTACAGCCATTCTGATGGGAGTGAGGTGATATCTCATTGTAGTTTTGATTTTCATTTCCCTGATAGTTAATGAGATTGAACATCTTTTCATGTGCCTCTTGGCCATCTGTATATCTTCTTTGGAGAAATATCTGTTCAGATCTTTTGCCCATTTTTTAATTGGGTTATTAGTTTTTTTATTGTTGAGATGTATGAGTTTATATATTTTGGATATTAACCCCTTATCAGATATATGGTTTGCAAATAGCTTCTCCCAATTGTTAGGTTGTGTTTTTGTTTTGTTGATGGTTTCCTTTGCTGTGCAGAAGCTTTTTAGTTTGAGGTAGTCCCATTTGTTTATTTTTTCTATTGCTTCCCTTTCCCGGTCAGACATGGGACTTGAAAATATGCTGCTAAGACCCGTGTCGAAGAACGTACCGCCTATGTTTTCCTCTAGAAGTTTCACGGTTTCAGGTCTTACATTCAAGTCTTTGACCCGTTTTGAGTTAATTATTGCATATGGTGTAAGATAATGGTCTACTTTCATTCTTTTGCATGTGGCTGTCCAGTTTTTTCAATACCATTTGTTGAAGAAACTTTCCTTTCTCCATTTTACGTTCTTGGCTCCCTTGTTGAAAATCAGCTGTCCTAAGATGTATCGCATGAGCTTGTTTTACAGGAGAAAAAGAATGCCTTCAAGGAAGTTGCAATCACCAGATAACCAGACCCCCAGCTGTCATGTTGATGCCCAGAAGTCAGATTGCCCAAGTGAAAGAAACACAGATTACCCCTTTTTTCCCCAAAACTCCTCCTGCCAAGCCCCGTAGCTCTATAAAACCTCCTGCTTGCTTCTCTTGTTAAGGCAGATTTGAGAAAACCTACCCGCCCCCCTTCTCATTTTGGCCAAGTTGAATAAACCTTTCTCCATCTCCAAGCACCAATGTCTCAGTGATTGGCTTACTGCTCAGTGGGCACACGAATTTGAGATTAAGAGGTTTCGTATCAATGGCACTACCCACAGAATCCGTATCCATCCTAGACTGGGGGCCACCTGAGGGCAGAGCCTGTGTCTGGTTCACCACTGTCTCCCAAGGGCCTGGCACACATCGGACACTCAGAGAACGTGTAAGAATTGCAGGAGACTGAACAGCATTCAAATAGGTAGAAGGTAAACAGGAGAGGGGGTGAGAGGCCAGCCACTGAGCCAGGCCTTACCCATATGATCTCATTCCATCTTCACAACCACAACATGAGGGAGATGCTATAACTATTTCAAATTTTTTACAAATGAGGAAATAAGCCTGGAGAGCTGGAAGACATGCTCAAGGTCACACAGCTATAAGGCTGCCTAGCCAGGATTCCAGGGCAGTTCTATCTGCTTCAAAACTCGGGCTTGTAACTGTTGCACAAGCTACTGCGGAGAGGGACAGTTTCCAGAAGTTCCAGTTTTGACGTCCTGGTCAAAATGCCCTGGCATCAAAGGCTGCAGCAGGGAGTGGGGGTGGGGTGGAGTGGCAAGAGACTCGGAAAACGGGAGCTTTGGAGGAGAAACCTCAGCCCCATGGGGACAGAGAGGCGGGGGCTCACAGAAAGGTGGCAATGGACCCAGAGTGCCCCAAGAGTGGGCTGTGCCTGAGCATCTTCTGGATGGACGCGTTCCCACGCCCTGAGCTCTCCAGGCCCTTCTTCACCCCTCCCCCATCTCCCCACCCTATTCATGGGTATCGTTAATGTCCAGCAGTCTTGGCACAGTTCCAGCCCCAGCTACCAGGCCTCCTGCCCTCTCCCTGCCCTGGGCCCTGGCAAACAGCCCAGGACAGATGCCTCTAAACTGTCCCCCCATCCAAGGGGGCCCAGGGCTGGGAGGCCCAGGCCCCAGCTGCCTGCCGCTGGGAGAAGGAAGAAACAGGGACCTCCCTGCTGAGCTTGGTCAGGCCTTTGTCCTGTGAACAAAGTAATGACCCTCAGACCAGAGCACAGCCAGGCAAGAGGCCTGAAGATACTTTAGGAAGGACGGGCCTCTCTGTGGTTCCCTGGCTACGCCCTGGGGAACCGCACGCTCGTCTCCTTCGCCAGCAGCTGGAGGAAGGAGTACATGTTTGTTGAGCAGGCGCATCTGTGCTGTGTTCCAGGGCTCTCCCCGTGGCCCCTGTGATGTGGCTTCTCTCAGAACCCCCATCAGAGAGGAGGAAAGAGGCTGGCAGAGGTTAAGCCCCGCGGCTGAATCTACGAATGCCAGGGCAGGGTGTGTACTTGGTCTGTCGCTGGATTCACCCCAAGCCGCCCATCCCTCCCCAGAACCGGGGACAGCCCTTCAGCAAGAGAGCACTGAACCCGTGTGGTGTTTTATATGACGTCACACTACATAGGAGTGGAAATGAACAAATTACAGCTACAGCGTGGACAGGTCCCACAAACACAACGTTGAGTAGAAGAGGCCAGACACGGAAGAGCACAGACTGTGTGATCTTACTTATATAAAGTGTGACAGCAGGCAGGACTGGGCCGTTGGAGGGGTGTCAGGTGGCGGGGA